TTTTGGCTGGAATTTGTTGTATTACCTTTTCAATTTCCTCTTTTGTAATGGGTCTGTTCAGATATTCAATTTCGATAGGTGTCATTTTAGGCAGGTTGTAAATTTCCAAGTATTTGTCCATTTCCTCCAGGTTTTCATATTTGTTTGAGTATAATTTTTCATAATATTCCAGTGTTAGCTTCTTTATTTTAGCTGGTTCGGTTCTGATGTTGCCTGTTTCATCTTTTATTAGGATTATGTGTGTCTTTTCCTTTGTTAGCTTTGCTAGTTGCTGATTTTATTGACTTTTTCAAAGAACCAACTCCTGTTTTGATGATGGTTTCAATTGTTTTTCCGTTTTCTATTTCATTTATTTCTGCTCTCATTTTTATAACTTCAGGTTTTTTAGACGGTGTGGGGTTTCCTTGGTGTTCTTTTTCAATTAGTTGGAGATGTTATGTTGTGACAGTCAATGGTCATTTTGTCCTGTCTTTTGATATGTTTGCTTATTGCTATAAATTGATCTCTTATTACTGCTTTGGCTGTTTTCCAGAGGTTTTGGTAAGTGGTGTCTTCATTGTCATTTGTTTAAAGAAACTTTTTACTTTGATTTTTTATTTCTTCTAGTATCCACTCACGTTCAAGCAAGGTGTAATTCTGGTTCCAGTTGTATGATTTTTTTCCCCTCCTTTATCCTGTTGTTATTAATTTATAATTTTGTAGCATTGTGATCTGATAAAATGCTTTGTACTATTTCTGTGTTTTTGAATTTATTGATGGCTTACCTTGTGACCTAAAATGATGTCTATTCTGGTCAATGTTCCATGCTCATTGGAAAAGAAGGTATACTGCGTTGTTGCTGTTGTTTTGTTTTTTTTTTGTTGGGGGGGTGCATTAACCTATAAATATCTATGAGGTTGAGTTGGTTTATGGTGTGGTTTAATTCTTGAGCATCTTTGTTGAGTTTTTTTCTGGTAGTTCTCTATTTTCTTGAGAGTGGTGTATTGATGTCTCCAACTACTATAGTTGTAGTAGTATCTATTTCCTTTTTTAATTTTGTTAATGTTTGTTTTCTATATTTTGCAGGTGTCTTATTTGGTGCATAGATGTTTATTATTGTTATGTCCTCTTGTTCTACTGACACTTTAAGCATTATGTAATGACCTTCCTTGTCTGTTGTGGTGGTTTTTGCATTGAAATTTATTTTACTGGGGATTAATATCACTACTCCTGCTTTTTCAATTGCTTGGTACATTTTTTCCCATCCTTTTAATTTTTAGTCTTTATCTTCATTTTTCAGGTGTGTCTTTTGTAGACAGTATGTTGCAGTGATGCTGAACACTATGATACTGATGTGGCATATGTAATAATGGTTACCCATCGTGAACAGTGTTTTCTGGAGCTTCCTGATTAAAACAAGCCTGAAAGCTGGAGTGGCATCTGCTTCCAAAATGGCTTGCCTCCAGAAACTCTGTGATCAGTTCTCAGGCCTTTCGTTCAGAAGGTTGCTATGAGTCATCTATGACTCACCGGCACCTAACAAGAACAAAAACAAAAACCATGTCCAATCTTCTGCTTTTCTTTTCTTCAGTGGTGCATTCAAACCATTCACGTTCACTATGATTATTGAAAGGCAGGGTTTTATTGCTATCATTTTGTTGAGTTCCTTTTGGTGTTGTTGCTAGTTACTTTGGTCTATGCTGCTTTGTGTGTTACCTTTGTAAGAAGGATGTCTGTCAGTGTTTCCTGCAATGCTGGTCTTGTTTTTACAAACTCCCTTAGGTTCTGTGTTTCTAGGAATATCTTGATCTCTCCTTTATATTTGATGGATAATTTTGCTGGATAAAGCATTCTTGGTTGACAGTTGTGTTCTTTGAGTGTTTGATATATATCCTTCCACTGTCTTCTTGCTTGCATGGTTTCTGCCAAGAAATCAGCACTTAATCTTTTCTATGCTCCCTGATATGTTGCTCCCTCACTGCTTTCAAAATTCTCTGCTTATCTTTTGTTCTGGCAAATTTAACTATGATATGCCTTAGTGTTTTTCTTTTGGGGTCTCTTCTATATGGTGTTCACACAGCTTCTTGAATATATATTTTCTTATTCTTCATTATGCCAGGGAAATTTTCCTCTAGTAATTCTTCCACCACTTTTTTGGTGCCTTTACTTGCTTTGTCCTGTTTTGGGTGTTCAGTGATGTGCATGTTATTTCTCTTGATGATGTCCCACATTATTCTTAGGTTTTCTTCTTTTTCCTTCTTTTTTTAATTCTTCTTTTTGCTCCAGCATATCAGTGGTGACAATTCTATCTCCTATTTCACTGTTCTGTGTTCCGTCTGTTCAACTCTGTTAATATGTCCCTCTGTCATGTTGACAGCATCCGAAACATTGGACCTCGTATTTGGGTTCATGATTTCTTGTTTTTCCAGTGCCACCATTGCTTTTTTTATTTTTTCTGCATTGTTCTGGATTGTTTTTTTTAAGCTCCTCTTGGTTTTTGCTTACAGTTTCTTACAATTCTTCAAGTTTGTTTTTCATTCATTGAAAATATTCCATCATTGTTCTTTTAAATTCTGTGTCAGACAGTTCCATCAGACCTTCTGGCTTTAGGAACTCTATTGATACTGTGTCACTTTTTGGGGGGTGATATCTTGCTTTGCACTTGTGTGGTGTATAGGATAGCTTGCTTTCTTTGAGACATTTATATGTTCTTCATCCGAAGACAGTGCTCTAGAAATCAGTTGGCCAGCTACCCCGCTTGAGTTTTTCTCTGAACTTCTGACTCAAGGGAAAGTTCTGTTTAGGGCCTGTGATACTCACCACTTGTAGGTAAGTCAGATCAAGGTGCTCTGGATTAAAGGCAAGTTGATTGACTGGTTGTGTAGGCACAGGTGTGGAGTCGAATGGGGGCCAGGCAGGCACAAGTGGAGGTGGTAAGCACAGGTGTGGGTCAACCACTTGCAAGACCTCACTCAGACCTCAGCTGTCCAGGTGTGGTCACGAGTGTGGTCCTTACTCAAAATCCAGCTGTCATCTCCCACTCAGAACCTTCACTCAGTGATCCCTGCTCTGTGGCCCTTACCCACGTGCCTGCACACCGTGGTCCCTGCCTGAGCAGGGTCCTGGGTCCAGCAGGAACCAAAAAGACTCAATCGAATTCCCCCCAACCCACTCACCTCTGGCCAGTCTGTAGTGTCCATGAAAGTTCAGTCAAATTCTTACCAGCCTGCTCACCCTTGAGTGCTCTCCCAGGCAGTCTTGGCAGTCTATGGTATGTTCAAGACTCTTCTCCAGCAGATATTAAATAGCACTATAAACTTTCTTAATTGCTTTGTTATATTTATCTTTTTTTGAGATATTTATCTTTTATAACTTGTTATTTATAAAACTTGTATTAACTATTTTAGATCATTCCTAGCATCATTCCATTAATAGCATATTTTTTTTTAAATTGGTATACATACAATAATTCATTTATATTTTTGTTTCATACAATCATTCATATACATTGTATTTTATAGAATTATTTGCTTTTGAGTATGTCTAGTATATCTCTGCCTTTCCACATCTCTATGGAATCTTTCCTATTCCTTCATCCCCCTCTGCCCACTAAACTGTGCTATCCTAATAATTTCAAAACTTCTCCTTTTTTACCCCTTTTCTTTTCCCTCCTTTCCCTTTTGAGTGTTTATACATGTCTTCCTAGTCATCCTTTACTAGTTATCCTTCTGTTTTTATAATAATGGTCTTTGATAGAGTAAAAAAAAAAAAATCCTGCCTCACATTAGAAATCAAACACTCAAATTTATTTCCATTAAGTAAGAACTGACTACACTGCAATCCCAGAGGTATGTGGTTCAAATCCACCAGATGCTCTGCTGGAGAAGGAGGGGGCAATCTCCTGTACCAGTCAGATCTGATTTGACGGTACACGTAAAAATAATACAATTAAAAAAAAACCAAAACTGACTAATAGTTGACTTTCCCTTGCATTTCTGAGACTGTAAATCATATGACAGGAGATTGCCCATCTTTCTACTTTAAGCTACTGGTGGTTTCTAACCACTAGGAGGAATGACCTTTGATTAACAACCATTTATTTACCTTTTAAATATTTTGAGAAAAACAAATCAACTTTAGTTATTATTGTATTCACTTTGTGCCTGGGAAAACAAAACTCAGACCTTCTTATGTTCAGGCTAAGAACAAAGGCAAATTTTCCTGTTTAATTCTCTAATAGGTATGTTTCTAATTGCAGTGTATCGGTTACCTAATTTAGAAACTGTCTTGATATGAATCATTGATGAATTTTTTCAATGCTTTAATTAGTAACTTACTGAATCAAAGTGCTTTTTATGCCTGTTGTTCAGAAAAGTCATTTTGTGATTGAATCACTTCAGTCAATTACAGTATGGTAATGATCTTTATATAGTTATTAGTGCCAGAGAAGCTTCATTCGTACAGTGCTCTATTTTTATTTCTTGAAAATAGAGTTTGTTTTAAGTTGAAAGAGTACAGTCTATTGAAAATAATATGACCTTGATATTATGTAGCTATCATATAGATAAAAAATGAGATTGAATATTATTTTTATTTTTTTTTGCTTAGGATAAAACTTGTCAAAGAAAACCCTTTCTAAGGTGTTAACTTTCATACTAAAATAATTGGGTTTTCATTACCACTTAATGAAAAGTATAACTTAATATATATTGAAATTTTGTTCCCTAACTTAATGAAAGATTGAATAAAAAAAAATAGGAAAACTTATAGTTGTATAAAATACCCAAACAAAAAACCCTTCAATTGTTTTGTTACAAAATTTGTATACTATTTTATTCAATTCAATATTTTGAGATATTTTTGTGAAACTGCCTATTTTCTATGCTAAGTTTCATTTATTGGCAATATCAACTTTTGCTTTCAATGCTGTTGCTTATTTTATGATATAAAGGTTGCAAGATATATAGAAAGGTGCTAGTTGTAATAATAAGCACTCCAAAATAAAACTTTGTTTTATTTAGACTGAATATGAGACTCAGATTAAGAAGATACAGTTACTTTCAAAAGGTAACCTAGGAATAAAAGATGAACTGAAAGATGAAGACAAAAAGGTAATAAAATTAAAATAATGACGTTTATGTTAATTGGGGCTTTCTGGAGTGTTCCTTTTTAAAAAGTATCATTTTAAATAAAATCATACTATTACAGAGATCTTTTTGATTAAGCCATAGGTGATTAAATAAGGTATAAGGTATTGCTTTAATATCTGCTCATTTAAATTTGTTGAATGCCAGTCACTTTGGGATTAAAAGAGAGAATTCAAAGAAAACTTACTGTCTGTAGGAGGTAAAATTGGTGTGTTTCTAAGCAATACTTTATAGGTGTTTTATTTTTAGTTTGAGAAATGTAAATGAAAGTAAACAATGGGATATTTTAATTTTCTTTGTATATATAATTTTTTACAATTTAAAATTTTCATAGAGAAAATAGAGAGAAAAGATTGCATATCTAAGTAACAGACAAAAAGACTGGCAAGGAATACTTAAATATATTCTGCTGTGTATCTGCTGTAATGCAGGTTTCTAATCCTTTCACCTATCTCCATATAAATGATTCCATTCAAGACCATAGATGTTTTCTTCTCTAAAAGCAGCAAAGCTCTTTTAGATGAAATGTCTAAAAACATCTTGTAATAACTTGGAGCATGCTGGCAAGAGTAGTCACTTGTGACTATGTGTGAAACCCCCTTAGCCAGTCGATATTGTAATAAGCAAAAATGGTAGCATCACTCCATTATTCAGAAAAGCCAACAGCGTGCTTGTTCCTTAGGCTGCAGCATTCATTAAGAAAAGCTTACTGGGCTGAAAGCTGGAAAGAGATGATAACAGGATATGATTTTCATATTTAATGCTTTCCTTGGAAGAGTGTGTGTGCTACAGATTGATAGAAGAATCAACTGCTACTTTACTAAAAGACTTTCAGGTTTGCCCTATAGCTACCGATGGAATCATTCAGCCAAGAAATTAACTTTTTCTCCTTTTACCTGCTTTATATATCTGCTAAGCAGGCTGCCTGACTGCCAGTAAATGTTATTATGCAGTTAACTGTTTGGTATTTAAGACTCTTATCAGAAAAGAAACAGAGGCCGCACTATTTTGTTTTTATAGTAGGAATAAGATTTGGGGGTGTGTGCGGTGTCTTTTTTTCCCTTCTATGCATTAGCTAGCATTAATCTAAGTTTATAGGAAGTTTTAGTGTCTTTTCCCCATAGATTAAAACGTTTAAAAACCTGTAATTTAGAGTATTTAAACTGTAGGACACAAACACAGGCCATCAGTAACCTTGGCCTATATAAAAAAAGCCTTTAATGAGAAATGATTTATATGCTCTTAGATCTACCCCAAATGTGGTGTGATGTGAAGACTTTTCTGTTTGACATTTAGTCATTAAATAATTGATTCTATAAACCAGTGTTCTTTTGTGCCATATTTAATAGACATATTCTTAGAATAGTAGTGTCAATGACACTTAAGTCAAATGAAAGACTTTCCTCCCCTATTTAAACTGACATTTCATTGCCTTATATATGGTTACGTGACCATGTATTCTTCTTTAAGTTATATTTAAAATTAGGACAAGTGCTATTTAGCTAACAGCCCCTTGAAATATTACCTATTATACTTAGTAGAGACTAAGGATGACAGAAGAAGAATCAATGCCTTAAAGTTATGCTGCTGGAGAAGAGTATTGTGCATACTATGGACTGCCAAGAAAACAAATAGGTCTGTCCTGGAGAGGGTGAAACCAGGTTTCTCTTTGAAGGCATGGATTGTAAAGCTTTGTCTCACATATTTTGGACATGTTGCTTAAAGGGATCAGTCCTTAGAGAAGGACATCAGGCTTGAAAAAGTCAAGGGACAGCACAGGAGAGGAAGACCCCAGATTAACTCAATAACTGGGGTAATGAGAGTAGGTGTGTTGAAGACAGTAAAATTGGATCAGGATAGGACAGGATTCAGAGCTTTTGTGCAAAGGGTTGATATGAGGCCCAGTTGATGGCACATAACAACAACAAAAAGAAAAAAAAAACCCTCTAATTTCTGTGGAGTCGGAACCAGTTCTTAGCTGATCCTCCAGTGGATTTTAGAAGTTGTAAATCACAGAGGAGTATATTGCCATCTTTCTTTTGCGGAGTCTAACTGCCAGAGACTGCCTTTGGGTTAGCTGTGCATCTCCCTGCAAACTATCCCATCAGAGCTCCCTAATAAAGGAAACAAGCATTTATACTTAATACTGAAAATATATCCTTAAAGTCTTAGGATATCAACTATGTGTAAGAACCAATTTGGTTACATATTAAGAAATTTGGATCTTGCCCTTCCTGATCATTCATTGATGTTTGAGCAATTAAAGGGTAATTAATTAACTTATTCTAATTCCAAAGCAGTTTTCTATCATGAGTTGCATTTTTATCAGTGGAAATCTATGCTCCTTTCCTGTGAAAAAATCTTATGAATTAGTCTGTGTCTAGCAAGAGTCATTAGTCTTCTGGAACTGGCCTCAGACTACAGTATCATTTCATGGTTGAATTCAAGAATTAGTTGCTGAACAATTGTTTTGTAATATAGTGGGCTCCTTCATGAATGCCCTTTCATAAATGACACAATTCCTGTCCCACACAGTACTGTTCCTCCTAAAGCACAGGGTACAGTTTGTAAACTTACATGGGGCAGACATTTTCTCATTGAGGAAGAAGCTAATTGAAGTGAATTATTTGAGTTGTGCTGATGAAGTGATATTTGAGCTAGTATTGAATGCTTGGAAGCATGCTAGTCAGTGAGGATGTGATAGTCATTTTAGGAGGAGGAACAGCTGTTCCTGAGTGAAGGAATAGAAGAAGTAGGAAAGCTCAGTTGGTAATTCTGGAGTCAGCCCAAAAGTTCTTGAAGGGAAGCAATAGAAAATGAGGCTGGGGTTTTATCAGGGAATTTCTTAGTACCAAGCTCCTGAATTGTGATTTTTTTTTTTTTCATGAAATCAGTGTGGGTATGTGGAGGGTGTGTGTGTGGGGAGGGGGATATGTGTGTGGATGTGTGCACATGCACATGTGCATGCCAAACAGATTGTTGAGCATCTATAGGAAGATAAATCTAGTGATACTGTGCAAGATGAACTGGTGGAAGGAGCTGACAAAGTCAAGGAAGTTGTCAGGGTCATTTCACACAGGAAGAATTATTTGAGTACCCAACTTTAGAATTGACCATTGAAGTTGAAAGTAATAACAAAAGGGAAAGGATCTATCAAATAATTTTTATTATAAAAAGTATTTGTACACCTTTTAACCATAAGCAATAACCTATGTGTTCTACTAAGAAATGTAGCTATCTATTTTTTTTTTTCCCAGTTAAACTCTAGCTTGATTTTTACTAAGCCATCCATTGTTTTATGTCCAGCGGAAGCTCTACATAATCATGGAGGATACATTATTGTGCTACTCATGACTAGGGATGTGTTTTATCTCCATGCCTTTTCAACCTATATGTGGAATAGATCATTCAGGAGGCTGGGCTGTATGAGGAGGGATGTGGCATCAGTATTTGAGGAAGATTAATCAATAACCTACTTTATGCAGATGACACAACCTAGCTTGCTGAAAGTGAGGAAGACCTGAAGCACTTGCTGCAGAGGGTCAAGGACTGCAGTCTTCAATCTGGATTGAGGCTCAATATCAAGAAAACAAAGATTCTTACCACTGGGCCAATTAACACCATCATGTGGAAGGTGAAGAGATTGATATTGTTAACAGCTCTAGTTTATTTGACTCCACAATCAACATTCTTGGTACCAGCAGCCAGGAAATCTAAAGATGAATTGCATTGGGAATGTCTGCTGTTAAGGACAGCTCCAGAGTACTAAAGAGCATTGATGTCAGTTGTTGGAGACTAAGGTATGCCTGTTCCAGGCCATAGTCTTTTCAATTACTTGCTATGCATCAGAAAGCTGGACAATGACTAAGGATGATAGAAGGAGAATTGATACCTTTGAGCTCTGGTGCTGGACTACTAAGAGAACAAACAGGTTCATCCTGAAGAGGGTGAAACCAGGCTACTCCTTGTAGGCAAGGATTCTGAAGCTATATCTGACATATTTTGGGAATGTTGCAAGTACTGACCAGTCCTTGGAGAGGGACATTATGCTTGGGAAGGTGAAAGGACAGATCAGGAGGATAAGATGCTCCATCAGAAGAATTGATTCAGTGACTGTAGTAATGATGGTGTGTGTGTTGGAGACTCTGAGATTGGCTCAGGATAGAGCAGGGTTCAGAGCTATTGCATATAGAGTTGCTGTGAGTCGCAGGCAACTCAACGGCAAATAACAACAACAACAACTTTATCTCCTAAGCTTCACTGTTAATTACTCACACACACACACACACACACACACACACACACACTCTCTCTCTCTCTCTCACTCATTCTCACTCTCACTCTCTCTCTGAGGGACAAAAATCCAACATAAATAACAAGACAAAACAATAAATAACAAGACAAAACAAAATTCAGGCCCTATTGGAATACTTATAAGAGTTACTATAATAATCCCTCTTACCTACTGTTGTTGTT